GTCTGGACCTCTGGGTCTCGCACCTTAAAGGAACAACATTTTACCATTTAGCCATCTGTGCCAGGAAACCACTGAGCTACAAACTCTGTTAATATTAGTGCCCAGCACATCCTAGTGGGTGGCTACTCTGACTTACTTGGGAGGCCACTTCCCCCTGTTAAATAAGTTTCACATCATTAATATTCATCATTATTATTCACTGAGGTCACCGATGAGCACCTCAGGATTCTTTCTCCATCCTTGGCAGAGCACAGTTATTACCTCACCTTACCGCACTCATACTTCCTTCTTATCCTTCTGCAGCATAAAATTACAAGTGAGTGTATCTGTGTATGCGTGTGTGTGCGAGCACACACACTCACATGGTGCACACATAGGCCACAGGCCAGCCGTGGGTGTCATCCTTCAGACACTGTTTATTTTCTGGAAGCCAGCTCTCTCATAGCCCTGGAGCTTGCCAGGTTTATTGGGCAGCTGCACCATGAGCTCCACGGGTCCTCCTGTCTCCACTTCTCCAGAGCTGGAAGTCTAAACACCGTCACTCTATGCTAGGCCTTAGGAAGTGGGTTCTGGGGTATGGAACTCGGGTCCTTGTGCCTGCAAGAAAAGCACTTGATTGACTGGGCTACCCGCCCAGTCCTTGTCATCACATCGCAAAGGACAGAAAGTCTGCAGACCATGACTGCATAAACACTATGCAGGACAAGAAACGGGACCTCTCCTCGTTCCACAAGTAGTTTCTGGAAGGTCCCCACACTTCTTCTTTTAGTCACATGTGACTCTCCCAGTTGTTGAGACCATGGTTAAGGTTTTGAGTTTTTGTTGCACGGTCTCAGCCAGCAGACTTCTTTCTCTGAGACCTTTGGCTCAGAAGGATGCTGACAGTGCACACCGAAGCCACTGCAGTGGTTCATTCTACGCTATTACTGACGCCAAAATGGACTCCTCTATTTGGTGGATGATGAACTGGATGCCTCCAGTGTCAGGGAACTATCAATCAAGACCCAGCTGCCATTATGGTATGTGTCATAACAAACATGCGTGCAAGCATATAGAGTCACTAAGAAAAGAATTATGGAGCTATGGAGGAACTACGAGGTAACTTCCCCTTGAAGAATTCATTACACATTATTTCTTCTTCTCCTTCTTCTCTTTCTCTTTTTCCTGCTCCACCTACTTCTCCTCCTCCTCCTCTTCTTTTTTTTTTTTTGGTTTTTCCAGATAGGGTTTCTCTGTAGCTTCAGAGCTGCCCTGGAACTAGCTCTTGTAGTCCAGGCTGGCCTCAAATTTACAGGGATCTGCCTGCCTCTGCCTCCCAAGTGCTGGGATTAAAGGCGTGCACCACCACCACTGAGCTTTGTTATACATTTCTTTTTCAAGGACATGAGGCTGTGACTCAGGAATTCCTATCCTCAGCTATTCACCAATCATTTAGAACATGTCTGCTGGTGACTGATTTTGCAGTAGAAACCAAAAGAATGTCCTGGTAATTCTGATGCATAGTTTTCTGTGCATATTCACAGACAGAGAAAAAGTTTCTGAATCACAACAGAAAGCTGCTTCAGGAAAAGTTGAAACTAAATTTATTTGAAAAGCAAGTTATTGAGGGAAATTCATTGGAAAAAGCTATATTAGACGTATTTCTTGAAACTCTCAGGTAAAAATCATGAACTCTGATTAATAGAGATGGGATAGTTTAAGATATGAGGTAGCCAGAAATATGCTTAAGCTATTGGCCAAATAGTATTGCAAATAATATGGTTTCTGTGTGGTTATTTTGGGGCTGAGCAGCCGGGAACAAACAAGTGGCCTTCATACAACAAATTGGCCCCAGGATGCACAGATTAATGGAGATGAGTTAATTTAAGATATGAGTTAGCTAGAAATATGCTTAAGTTATTGGCCAAACAGTATTGCAAATAATATGGTTTTTGTATGGTTATTCCGGGGCTGGGTAGCCGGGAATGAATGAATGGTCTCCTACTACAAATTGGCGCTCCAACGTGTGCTAGCTAAATCCACATACAACTTGAGAGGGCTTGGAAAGGAATTCTAGATACTAAAAAACAAAGTTTAGTCACATTATTTCTAAATGGGCTCTGCTTGTTGGCAGCACACTGCAGCTCCTTTAAGAGAGGTTTTCCTGATTCAACAGTAGCAGAAAAAAAAACTGCATCGTTTTGAAACAACAGCTTCCTGAGCCATGCTGCCAGCACAAACCCTGACTCTTTTAAGAGATCAAACTTTTAAATGGGATTTGAGAGAAGAGTGTTACAACTTGCTTAATGGCAACATAGACCTGCTGCGTGCCTGAAAATTGGGCTGCGAATATGGCTTGTGCTAAACAGACCTCCACCCTACCATGTTGGACTGGGCAGAGCCAAAAGGCAAAGCAGCCTCAGAAGTGTTTAGCATTTTAAAAAGCGCTCCTGGACAGAAAAGAATTACAGATACATAATAGGATAGATTCAGACATAAAAGACCTCTAAATGAGTCACAGTGTGTTGAAAAAAATGTATGTAGGCTTGGGAGAGAGAAGAAAAAGAATAAAGAGACAGTAAATGTAATATAAAAGAATACAGACAGTCATAGATTAAAGGAGTAAAGCTAATAAAATATTAAGCTTGTAGAAAAAGTAATAGATTAAGAAAAATAAGCCGTGTAAAGATGGAATATGCACAGAGAGTCTGGATTATGTATATTATTGTGTTTTCTTTGAATTGTTTGACTGTGAAGGAGCTAAGTACAGAGAGTTTCATTGTATAGATTGTTAATCTAAACCAGCATGAGGGTATCTTGACTTCAGAATTTGGGCCTAAGAATATGTTGCTTTGGAAAAAAAGTTCTACTTTTGCTTCCACAGAAAATGAGAACCTGTGGAATCCTACCAGACTAATGTGGTTTGATGGACCAAGACACCCTGAAATGTCACTGTGAACAACCCCCAAAATACTTCATCCAACAAAAAGCAGGAAGTAGTTTGGAGAGAACTATGTCTAAATTCCATAACTGAGTGTTTATAAAAGTTTCTTTATATTTAAAGGGGGATATGATATATCAATATCATATCATATGAATATGATATGAGCAATACTTTTCATTGGTATGGATCTTGGTTTATTGATGTAAATTTAATGTCAATTCTGTTATGTGTATATTTCTGCTCTTGATTAAGGTATTGTGTGTTTGTGTAACTCATTTAAAATGCAATGTATAATTAATAAATATAGATTAATAGATAATAATCTATAATAGTAAAGCCTGTAGTCATGTTATTTAGGTTTTCTAGATATATAGAGGCATATTTCACTTAGGTATTCTTCAAATCTTTCAGAGGCCTTCAGAATATGGCATTTAAATGTTTTAAGAAGTTAGGGCTTTTCATGACAGTGAGACACATCTGCTCCTGGCAGTACCAATAACTTCAAGAGAAAGATGGGCACCGAAGGGGCTCCATATGGAGTTTGCTAGTCATTTGGGCAAGGAACTGCTCTTGCCTGTACTGCTTGATATTATGCTGTGTGAACTGGAGATGCAGGATCTGCAGAGAAATGAATGCTAAACTGTCCTAAAGATGAGATAATACTTTGGGGTTCCTGTTTCATGAAAGAATCTGCTAGACATTCTGCAGGATACAGAAGAAAGTGACTGACAAACTGCCAATATAGGCAGAACTGTCTTTGAAATTTCCTGTTTCCTAGAAAAGTCTGCCAGATACTTTGCATGTCTGCCAAGCAAGGCTATAAGCTATGGCATCTCCAGATTACAGCCACTGTGTGAAACTGTATTTAAATACTGGGATCTGGTTCCGTCTTGGTACAGGGTTCTTCAAATTCAGTTCTTCTTAAGAGTTTAGGGGCATGTGGGGAGCCTCAAATACTCTCAACCAGAAGAAGTCACACAAACACAATTCTGCAACAAATATAGAAGGCTTTGGGACTTATGAAAATCTAATCACAGAGTCTGGGTTAAAAATGTCAACTCAGCCAGGCACAGCCATGCCTGGCAGTAATCCCAGCCCTTGGGAGGCTGAGGCAGGAGGCTCAAGAGTTCAAGGCCATTCTGGGACATCTAGGAGGCCCTATCTCAAAATTCCAAAAAGTAAAACAATAACAACCACCCAGTCTAAGATCCTGTTCAGGACGGAGCCCCTGTAGAATGAGAACAATAACTTGGGGTCCCTGTTGGGCTCTGTTTGGAAGCAGTGGCTTTTTTTTTGTCACAGCATAACACGTAGGGCCGCTTTTCATCAGCCTTCAAGAATTACAACAGGAGCTGAGGCCAGAGAACTGCCCGAAGTTTACAGAGATCGTTTCTCAAAATAAATACACCCCCTAAACAGACCAGACACATGCTGGTCACATGCTGGCCACGTGGTTCTTATGACTGATGGGTTCCATAACAGGAAGTTAGCTACTCCACTACACCTGCTGCAAATGAACAACCTATATACTTGCTCTAAGAGCCTTTGTTAGAGTTTTGACGAAGGGTTCCCCCAAAGACTTCTTTTTATGGCTTAGTTCCCAACATAAACCGTGTTTAGAGGTGAGAATCAGAGGGAGATGATTTCGGGGGGGGGGGGGTGCAGGATTCAAAATCTGAACAGACTCGAAAGATAGAACTGTGGCAGGTGGGGGCTGGATGGAGGACGGAGCTCCCCTGTGGCTGTATCTTATGCTTATGTATCTTCCAGACACAGCTCCTTTTGGTTTGTGGTTGCCATGAGGTGAACAGTTCCCCCTACCCCACCCCTTCTGTCATAGTGAAAAGCAGGCAAATCACACAGGCCTCTACCTACCTCTGCATGAGCCAAAATGAATATCTTCTTTGAACTATTTCTCTTAGGTAACTGTTGACACAAAAGGCTAAAACAGTCTGGCATGTGGGGCTAAGTATTTTTTAATACTTCTCACATGCACACATTCTGTCTCCTTGCTCTCTCTTCTCCCCCGCATCTTCATCTCTTCCTCTTTCCTGGAATATGTATGCTTTTGGCTTACCTGGGTCTGATTCAGGCTTGGCTGGCTGTGGCTTCAGTTGTGCACTCAACCTGCTCTTGGAAATGTCTGAGTCGTGTGATTCAATGAGTGAACAGTAGGGATGTGGAGGGGCATAGGGACTGCGGCACCAAGGACTCCGGTTGGGTAAAACGGTCGGCGAGATTTTCTTTTCTCTGCGACAAGAGAAAGACCAACTTGAAATCCAAAGGCATTTTATGTAGTACTATTAGTATTGGAGGTGCAATGAGAGAGAAAGCCTATTTAAAGAACCCAGAGGGGGCTGTAGAGCTGGCTCATCAGCTACCAGCATGGGCCACTCTTCCAGAGAACCTGCTTCAGTTTCCAGCACCCACATGGTGGCTTTTAACGACCTGTAACTCCCGGAAGGCCTCTGCTAGTCTCTGTGGCTACAGGCTATACATACATATGTGCAGGCAAAACCCCCATACACATAAGATAGAAATGAACCATAATAACTTTTAGAAAGAGTATGTCTTTCCTGGATCTCGCAGGCAGGGTATTTATTGCGTCACAGCATTTGGTTAAAGAGGAATGGAATTCTGCAACTCTGTCCTCAGCCAGCTTGAGGGTAAAACTCATTGCATGCTTCTGCTGCCACTTGAGCCTGCTAAGCACATGGAGATGCTGTCACCTTCCCACCTCTCTATAGTTACCTTGCCTCGAATAGCAAGCAGTGCCAAGAACAACTTCTTAAGGGGCTCAGGGATCTCACGATTAACCCTTCAGAGCCTCGACACAGGTATCTGCTCTCTTCACGGTGCCTACACTGTACTGGAGCCATGGCCCATTGACTGATGAACGTACATGGGCTCCTAGTGCATGCCACAGGCTCGGGTACTGACGGGGAAGGGCTCAATAAATAGGAAATGAAGTATCCTTTACCTCCTAAGAGCAGGGCAGGTCTGCTCCATCAGACACTGGGAGGACTCTTTCTTTGCCGACTCTTGTTTTTCCTTACTTATGGAGGATGCAGATGTCGTTGTCCACCCAAACAGATGGCTCTTCAGTGATGGAATCACTACGGAGCATCTCTCAAATTCAATATCAGTCTCTAGCTTCTCCCATGCTTGTTTCCAGTGGATCGGAGTGTACCAGGCGATTGCCTAATAGAAACGAAGAGGGCTCTCAGTATGAAATATTACTGGAGTTGTATGTATTTGCTGTCAGAGGCCTATTGCCTTGTTAGTCAGTTTTGGGTTCACGTTTCTGTCTGAGGTAGGCTCTCGCTCTGCTGTCTGGGTTGATCTGGCACTTGTTGAGTTGTCCAGGCTATTCTAAAAGTCATGGTGATCCTCCTGCTTCAACCTCTAGAGTACTGGGATTAAAGATGTGAACTTTACACCTTAGAATGTATTTCTAAAAATAAATTTTATTGTGTTTTTAAGTTTTCAACATTAATTATACAATACATACACACATACATCATACATACATACACACAATCATATCTGTGACAAGAGCTAAGAGCTAGGGAAAATTAGAAATTCCCAGATACAATGTCATTTTAGTGCTTATATTCCACGTGCCACACATTAGTTCTCCAGACTATTTATGCTCTGCATGTTCTTTGGGTACACACCAGCAGAGACACTTCTGGGTCAAGTGCAAACCCTGCTGTGGTTTCTTTAAAGAGCCCTTCCCTGAGCTCCCACTGTGAAGAAGAGATCTGTTCCCTATCTGGATCTTAAATGCAAAACAAGGGCCTGGGGAAGTACCCAAAGTGCAGAAAGCCTGCAGTTTTGTAGGCAGCATCATTCTGTTTGATCCCTGCAAATATGAGATTATATACTGTCATCAGCAATGTGCTATGAGTCTACGGATTTTCAAAACAGTGCAAGACGCTGCCCATTGGTCATGTTGGAGTCATACAGGATTCATGGCCACAGCCTGCCGTCACTCAGTGTCTGGTGGAACCTCAGGCCCGTCTGCTTCAGTCAGCAGGTAGACAGAAATAGATTTTCCAGGAAAACCTTTCTTGTGATTGCAGAGGGAGAACGAGTCTCACTGAGGTAAGAATGGGGTGATCCTTTTTAAATTTTTAATTTCATTTTTTAATTTTTTTATAATTGTTTGTTTTATTAGGATCTCATTTGGACATAGAATCTCCTCGCCTTCCCATTAAGGGTGCATTTTCTAAATGAGCAATGCCATTGCTTTACCACAGCTGGTTTTTTCTGATGGGATATAACCCACGGATGGGGAACTGAAGCAGAGGCCGTGGAGGAACTCTGCTTACTGGCTTGCTCCCCATGGCTCCTGCTCCGGTGTCAGCTCACCCACAGGGAGCTGGGCTCTCCTGCACTATAGGCTGATCGATAGCTTCCTTCTCTACTGAAGTCCCCTCTCTCGAGATGACTGACTCTAGCTTGTGTCAAGCTGACATAAACCACCAGGACAACTATAAAATAATGCTATGACTGAAGGGAGGAAGAGATTCTCTGGAGGACCATGATGGCTTCTGAAGGGACAGTCAGATGACGGGCATTAATACTAGTAAGTATCACTGATGCTGGCTCGTGGTCTCATGGGATTTCAGCCTCTTGTAGTGGGCGAGCAATGTCGGAGTGGCTCCATGGTGATGGGAGGGTTTGGCAGAACCCCTTATACTGTGGAAGACCAAGATGCAGAAGGCACAAAAGGAAAAAGCCACCTACAGTTCCTCCAGAGAAGACCAACCTCCCAAAAGTTCAAAGCCCCTCATACAGCGCCCCTTACTGGGGGCATCCTAACCATCACTTTTCTAAAAATTATTTCACATCCCTACTGAAGCCCCCTCCCTCCTCTCCTGCCATTTCCTCCCCCACCTCACACCAGTGCCCTTCTCCCACCTGCTTCAGTATTTGCTCAGAAAGGGGCAGGTTCCCCATGGGCATCAGCAAAGTACAGCAAATCAAGCTTCTATAATAGCAAGCACCTCCTCTAGTATTCAGTCTGGACAAGGCAAACCAGCATGAGGAATAGGTTCCCCAGAGCCAGCTAAAGAACCAGGGACAGCCCTGCTCCCATTGCCAGGAGTCCCACAAATGGACCCTGACACAATTGTCACATAAATGCAGAGGGCCTATTGGTCCCATGCAGACTCCCTGGTTGTAGGTTCAGATTCTGTGTGTTCCCATGAGCCAGGCTAGCCATTTCTGTGGGTTTTCCTCTGATGTCCTTGACTCCCAGGCTCCTGAAACCCCTCCTCACTCTCCTTGACAGAACTCGCCCAATGTTAAGCCATGGGTCTCTGCATGTGCCTCCATCAGTCACTGGATGAAGGCTCTCTGATGACAACCAGAGTTGTCACCAAGCTGATCACAGGGGATGGCCCATTCAGGCCATGCACCCACTGGTGCCAGGAATCGTAGCTGGAGCCATCCTTGTAGACTAGTGGAATTTTCCCTTACATCTCGGATTTGTAAAGCCCCTCCCCCTTTTCCATTCACCTCTCTCGGCACTGTCCCCCTCCACCCACCCCAACCCAATCCCTTATGTTCCCATGCCCAACTGCCCCCAGTCCATCCAGCAAATCTCTCTATTTCCCCTTCCCTAGGAGATCCTTGTGTCCCCGCTTCCTTGGGCCCTCCTTGTTACCTGGTCTCTCTGGGTTTGTAGATTATAGCTTGGTTATCCTTTACAGCTAATATCCACTTATAAGTGAGTACATGCCATGTTTGTCTTTCTGGGTCTTGGTTCCCTCACTCAGTGATTATTTTCTGGTTCCATCCATTTGCCTTAAAATTTTCTGATGTCATTATTTTTAACAGCTAAGCAATACTCTACTGTATAAATGTACCACATTTTCTTCATCCATTCTTTGGTTGTGGGGCATCTAGGTTGTTTCTGTGGGCCCATATTTCTTATTGGTATAGCAGCCAGGCTCTGAAGCCATTGGGCTCATCCGAAGTGATCACTTAGCCCTGCAGACAAGCCAAAGGTCAGGATCTTGGCTGCTCCCTTTCTTTGTAATTTAGAGGATGCCTTATAGAGATGCTAATTCAGGCCTCTGTGACAGCTAGCATACTCAGCAGACAGGTAGATGCAGACACGTGACAAAAGGCCATTCACCTGGTTACCTAGGAGACAGGATGATGATGTATTTTCCTGCCCAGTTTATGTATTGGTATAAAAGATGTTTGGAGAATAAACGCAGGGATCTTTGGGAGAGATTCTAGAGAGGAGATCTAGAGGAGAGATCTTCAGGAGAAAGACGCCTGAGATACCCTTTTCCGTAATAATGGTGTAAGCTGTGTCTGTTCATTCCTTGTGCCTCCGTAACAGTCCAGTTAGGGAAAACAGATAATTGTGTTGGAGCCACACGGGCTCCAACAGTTTCCAGGTTCTGGCTGCTATAAATAAAGCTTCTATGAACATAGCTGAGCAAGTATCCTTGTGGTATGATTGAGCATCATTTGGGTCTATGTCCAAGAGTGGTATTACTGGGTCTTGAAGTAGATGATTCTCAATTTTCTGAGAAACTAACATATTGATTTCCAAAGTGATTGTATAAGTTTGCATTCCCACCAGCATTAGAAGAATATTCTTCTTGCTCCACATCCTCTCCAGCATAACTATTATTTGTTTTTGATCTTAGCCATTCTGATAGGTCTAAGACTGTGGAGGCCCAAAAATGTGAGCCTATTCTACCTTGTCTGATGTTCAGAGACTTTGGAGGTTGCTCAAAATTGTTGACAGCAAGTGTAGCCACATATCCTGACTCAGGATGTAGTTACTTGGTTCTTTTGACATTATGTTGGCTCACACAAGTAGATCCATTCCATCCTGACAGATGGTCAAGATATAAAAGTGTACTTCTGTTTCTTCTTTTGTAATATGAGGTTACCTGGGGAATGACTTCTTTCAGGATACTTAGTCTAGGGTGGCTTCACTGCCTAAACAACAGAATGCTAATGACTTGATGTCTCAAAGTGTTGAAGCAATTAACTGTCGAGCTGTCCTTTGGATCATGTTAAAGAAGTCTTTTGTTGCCTTCTCCCTTTGGTATTGGGGTATAAAAGTGTATGGAAAATTAAATGTGGTGATTTCAGTATTCACTGGAACTCCCTCCCAGTACTAATCTATGGTTTCTGTTTCATTAGTTTTAAATGTGTCTTCATGTTCTTTACTTACATTTCTGACCCCCATGAGCCTACCCTGGCAAGAGTTGTATTTGTTGAGGCTGGTCTCCAATATAAGATGGAATCTCAGTCGTTCTGATTTGAATTTCATTGATGGCTAAGGTTGATGAACATTCCTTTAAGTGTTTCTCTGGCATTTGAGATTCTTCTGTTAAGAATTCTCTGTTTAGGTCAATATCCCATTTTTAAATTGGATTATTTGGTTTTTTTTTTTATGCCTAGTTTCTTGAGTTCTTTATATATTTTGGAGATCAGCCCTATGTCAGATTCGGGGTTGGTGAAGAGATTTTCCCATTCTGTAGGCTGCTGCTTTGTCTTATTGACAGTGTTCTTTGCCTTACAGAAGCTTTTCAGTTTCATGAGATCCCATTTATTAATTGTTAGTCTTAATGCCTGTGCTACTGGTGTTGTATTTAGGAAGCTGCCTTCTGTACCAATGTGTTCAAGGCTATTCCCCAGTTTCTCTTCTATCAGGTGCAGTGTATCTGGTTTTATATTAAGGTCTTGATTCACTTGCACTGGAATTTTGTGCCAGATGATCGATATGGATCTATTTGCATTCTTCTATATGCTGACATCCAGTAATGCCAGCACCATTTGTTAAACATACTTTCTTTTCTCCATTGTATAGTTTTGACTTCTTTGTCAAAAGTCAAGTGTTCCGATGTGTGTGGATTTATATCTAGGTCTTCGATTGAATTCCGTTGGTCAATGTCACCACCATGCTATTTTTATTGCTACAGCTCTGTAGTAGATCTTGAGATTGGGAACAGTGACACCTCCAGCAGCTCCTTTATTGTACAAGATTGTTTTAGTTATCCTGGGCTTTTTTGTTTTTCCATATGAAGTTGAGTATTTTTCTTTTGCTGTCTGTAAAGAATTGTGTTGCGCTTATGATGGGGACTGGAGTGAGTGTGTAAACTGCTTTTGGCAAAATGGCCATTTTTACTATGTTAATCCCACCAATCTATGAGCATAAGAGATCTTTCTACCTTCTGTTTTCTTCTCTACTTTCTTTCTTCAAAGACTTTAAGTTCTTGTCATACAGGTCCTTCACTTACTTGGTTAGAGTTACACCAAGATATTTTATATTGTTTGTGGAGGGTTACTTTTTTCCTGATTTCTTTCTCAGCCTTTTATCATTTGTATATGAGAGGGTTGCTGATTTTTTTTGAGCTAACCTTATATCCAGTCACTTCACTAAAGGTGTTTACCAGCTCTTGCAGTTCCCTTTTTGGGATCACTTATGTATACTATCATATCATATGCAAATAGTGATACTTTGACTTCTTTTACAATTTTTAACCCCTTGATCTCCTTTTGTTGTCTTATTGCTCTAGCTAGAAATTCAAGTACTATATTGAATAAATATGGAGAGAGTGGACAGCCTTGTCATTCTTGATTTCAGTGGGATCACTTTGAGTTTCTCTCCATTTAGTTTGATATTCGTTGTTGTATATTGCTTTTATTATACTTAGGTATGTTCTTTGTATACCTGATCTCTCTAGGATTTTTATCATGAAGGGGTGTTGGGTTATATCAAAGGCTTTTTCAGCATCTCATGAGATGATCATGTGGTTCTTTTCTTTTAGTTTGTTTATAAGTGGATTACATTGCCAGATTTTCATATGTTCAACCATCCCTGAATCTCTGGAGTGAAGGCCACTTGACGAGGGTGGGTGATCTTTTTGATGTGCTCATGGATGCAGTTTGCTAGTATTTTGTTGAGTATTTCTGCATCCATGTTCAGGAGGGAAATTGATCTGTAATTTTCTTTCTTTGTTGAGTCTTTGTAAGGTTGGGTATTAGGGCGACTATGGCCTCATAGATTTTGGCAATGGTCCTTATGTTTCTATATTGTGGAATACTTTGAGGAGAACTAGCATTAGCTCTTTTTTGGAAGTCTGGTAGAATTCTGTGTAGACAAAGGTTTCTATACCACCTGGTCCTGTAGCTGTTCAGTTCCAAATAAACACACAGAGGCTTATATTAATTATAAAATGATTGGTCTATTAGCTTAGGAGTTCTTATTAACTAACTCTACATCTTACATTAACCCATAAATCTTGTCTGTGTCAGCCACATGGCTTGGTACCTTTGTGAGTGAAAGATTCTCATCTTGCTTCCTCTAGGTGATGACTGCAGACTGAGCTTTTCCTCTTCCCAGAATTCCCCTATTCTGGTCACCCTGCCTATACTTCCTGCCTGGCTACTAGCCAATCAGTGTTTCATTAAACCAAAACAAGTGACAAATCTTTACAGGGTACAAGACCAATGTCCCACAGCAATTCTTTCCTGAAACCATCTGTCTCTGGGATTTTCTTGGTTGGCAGACTTTTAATGACTGCTTCTATTTTCTTAGAGGTTATAGGTCTATTTAAATTGTTTATCTGATCTTGGTTTAATTTTGGTATGTAGATTTATCAAAAAATTTGTTCATCTCTTTTAGATTTTCCAATTTTTTTGGAATATGGGTTTTTTCAAGTATTACCTAACGATTGTCTGGACTTCCTCAGTGTCTGTTGTTATGTACCCTTTTCATTTCTATTTTGTTAATTTGGATATTCTGTCTCTGCCTTTTATTTAGTTTGGATAAGGGTTTGTCTATCTTGTTTTCTCAAAGAACCAACTCTTTGTTTCATTGGTTCTTTGTATAGTTCTCTTTTTTCTATTTTATTGATTTCAGGCCTCAGTTTATTTCCTGTTGTCTACTCCTCTTGGGTGAGTTTGCTTCTTTTTGTTCTAGAGTTTTCAGGTGTGATTTTAAATTGCTAGTATGAAATTTCTTTAAATTCTTTATGTAGGTACTTGGTGCTATGAACTTTTCTCTTAACACTGCTTTTATTGTGTCCCATAAGTATGGTTATGTTGTGCATTGGTTTTTATTTAATTCTAGGAAGTCTTTCATTTCTTTCTTCCTTCAGTTGAGTGTTGTTCAGTTTCCATGAGTTTGCAGGCTTTCTGTAGTTTGTGCTGTTGTTGAACTAAGACTTTAAGCCATGGTGATCCAATAAGATACAGGGGGTTATTCCATTTTTTTTGTATCTGTTAAGATTTGCTTTGTGGTTAAGTATGTGATCAATTTTGGAGAATGTTCCATGAGGTGCTGAGAAGAAGGTGTATTCTTTGGTGTTTGGGTGAAACATTCTATAGATATCTGCTAGATTCATTTGAATCATGATGTCTGTTAGTTCCATTATTTCTCTGTTTAGTTTCTGTCTGGATGATCTGTCTATTGGTGAGAGTGGGGTGTTGAAGTCTCCAAAATTAATGTGTGGGGTTTGATAAATAACTTTAACTTCAGCAATGTTTCTTTTACAAGTGTGAGTGCCCTTACATTTGGGGCATAGATATTAAAAATTGAGACATCATATTGGTGAATTTTTTCCTTTGATAAGTATGAAATATCCTCCATCTCTTTTGATAATTTTGGTTTGAAGTCTATTTTGTTGGATATTAGGATTGCTACACCAGCTTGCTTCTTTGGTCCATTTAATTGGCCAAACATCAGTCTTAATCTGGGGCATTTGATTGGTCAACCATCAGCCTCAATCTGTGATGATATCTCAGGAGAATGAGTAATTCACCTGGATTACATATCCTTATTTTTACAGTCAGAGACAATTTTTAGAAGTATTATAAAATTTAATTTAAATCCATAAAGACAGGGAAGGCTGAGTGAAGATGTACCCAGTGAGTTCCCAGTCCTAAGCTCATCAAAGAGCTGGAGAGATGACTCAGCAGGGAAGATTGTTACTCTTCTAGAGGACCCGGGTTCAGTCCCCAGCACCCACACCAGGTGGTTCACAACCACCTGTAACTTCAACTCAAGAGAATATGACACGCTCTTCTTTACTCTGTGAGTACACACATACACATCATAGCACACACTCAAACACTCACACATCACACAGTATACATTCATACACATACATACAGCACATACTCACATACCATATACACATACACAGCACAGATTCACATACATAGCACACACACACACACGCTAAAATCTTTAAAAACTCACTCCAGCCTGTTCTACATGCAGAGTGACCCAGTATGGCCATGCAATAAAGGAAGAAGGAAACACATATCCTGATCAACATAGTGTGGGGGCTACTGCTTCTGCAGCATAGTAAATTTGTCTTGGAATAAGAAGTAAAGACAAGAATTTTAGAAAAATCTGAAGACCAGTTTTGAAAAGCAAATAGTACTTGACTGTCATAAAGAGGGATATAGGTAAATCCTACTGGTATGTCCATGGGTTACTAATTATGCTAGAATTATACCAAGAAAAGCATAAAACTATCTATCAAGCATTGGGAAAGAATTACAGATTTTAACATATCCAGTTATAGTTTGTATAAAAGATAGTCAGCAGAGCAGAAGGGAAACACACATGGGCTGGCTGCCCCCTAACAACCTTTGACCCCGACACTTACCTCACCGTGGGGTTTGCACAGGATGGTCGTGCAGTCAGGACTGGATCGGAACCTGTTCTGTTCCTCCCAAACAAAGTCCGTTGGTGGCGCAGGCTTTGCTTCTGCTTCTGCTGCCCACACCTTTGAGAAAGCAGTTTGTTGTTGACAAATGCCACTGGGGTTCCACTGAGATCCATAGATGTCACACTGTTATTAATCTTTCTGAACAGATACGATTTTCAGTGTCATTAAAGATGGGAAAGGCCTCCCTGCATTTGCCTGGGCTGGGCTCCGGGGCACATGGGATCCTTGTGTCATGGCCTCCTGCGGGTCCAGACTATCTGTGCTTGTAAGTTATTTTAAAATATAATGGAACACAAACAGTGACTGAGCACAGTTTAAACAACTGTCCATGCCTGTGGGCTGTGAGTGACCCAGGATAGCTACAAAGGCAGCCCAACTGCACATTGTAAACTTACTGATGTATCTTTAAGGTTTTTTTTTTTTTTGTAACTTGATTGTATTGTTGTCCAATATGAACTTTGTAGATGACAACATCTTATCTCAATGTCATGCAAAACAAACATGATATACTCCTACAACCTACTGCCAAGGACTGGACACCCCAGCCTCGGAGAGACAAGGGCCGAGTGGAGAACAGACTTAGCACCTGCTCTCTGGGCCAACAATCGTTTGGCTTGTGTTTGAAGAACGTGTTCTCTTAGTTTAGGAACTTAGGACGTAGCTAGCGGACAAGACAGACTAAGACTGTATGCTAAACTAGAGAATGGAGTGGAGATGGAAGTGCGGGGATCTGTCGGCCCCACCATAAATCGCAAACATCACAGTTAGTACAAAGACCAAGTGTCCAAGAGGCCACTTGTGCCAAGTCACAGGCTGGCTGGAGAGGGAGTTTTCTCTTTACATACCTGGCTCTGATATTCCCAGCTCACAATGTGCCCAGCTCACTCTTCCCCCAGCTTACCTTACTATTATCTCACGGTACCCTTGCTCACAGTGTTCAGCTCAAGGTGGTCCTGGCTCATAGTTTTCCCTAGCTCCTGATATTCCTGGCTCATATTCCCAGCACACTAATATAGTCTCAGTGCATGACATTCCCAGCTCACCATAATCTTAGATCCTGGCATTCTTGGTTCACAATGTTCTCGTCTTCTGGTAGTCCCAGATCATGATATTTCAAACTTATTATATTTACCAGATCACAGAACTCTCAGCTCCTGGAATTCTCAGTTTGCAATATTCTCACATCATTATATTCCCAGCCCTAATAAGGTATTCCTAGCTAGTCATATCCCCAGCTCACGATATTCCCACCTTGCTCTATTTTAGCCAATGTGATTCCCAGCTCTTGTTTTTCCCCAGGTCACCTTATTCTCAAATCCTGGTCAAATCTTGGTATTCCCAGCACATGGTCCTCCCAACTCACGGTATTTCTAACTCCTAGGGCTTCTAACTCACAGCTTTCCCAGGTCATGGTATTCCCAGCTCAGCTTGTTCTCAGCTCCTGGAATTCCACTGTATCTTCAAGACACGGTACTTCCATTTCAAGGTATTCTGGGCCCAAGGAATTCTCACTAACTGTATTCTCATGTCATGGTGTTTCTAGCTTACGGCATTTCAAGTTCCTGATGCTCTCAGCTCATGGCTTTCCAACTCAGTGCTTTCTCAGCTCAGGGTGTTCCCAGGACATTGTATCTCAACATGGTCTCCAATGCACACTGTTCTCACATCATTGTGTTCTTGGCTCCTGGTGTCCCCACTTTACAGTGTTCTCAGCTCATGGTGTTCCCAGCTCACGGTGTCCCCACCTCATGGTGTCCCCAGTTTACAGTGTTCCCAGCTCACAGTATCCCCAGCTCACAGTATTCTTAGCTGATGGTGGTCCTAGGTCAGTCATGTTATTCCAAATTTATGATGGCTCCAGGTCATACTTACTGTCACCGTGGAACTGGCCTGCATCATGACATTGGGGGGAAATCGGTACAGGGAAACTGCATGCCCGTTCACATTCTGTTGGAGAATGTGGTTTCCAATCTCCACTTCTTTGTCATCAGAAGAGTTAACAAGCCGCACGAACAACCCCTTGACGTTTACATCAACTATTTTGATGTCGTCGAGAGAACTAAAATATAAGATATAGAAGGGGGGTTTGGGTAAAAAGGTCTTTGGTACATAGTAAGGACTCGGTAATACGGTGCCTGCCTATAATCTCAGCACTCAGAAGAGCAGCAGGAGAAGCCTAAGTTCAAGGTCAGTCTAGTCTATGCAGCAAGCTCCAGCCTAGCTAAGGAGTCATGAGAGCCCCAAAATGAAATAAAGCCCAGATAATGAATGGATAAGCTATGATGGAACTTGCAGACTTTTTAATGATTTACTTTTATTTTGTGTGTATGGGTGTTTTGCTTGCATACATGTCTATGTAGTACACGTGTGTAGTATTCGGCCACTGGGTCACCTGGACTAGAGTCACAGACAATAGTGAGCTGCCATGTAGGTGGGGGAAACTGAACCACTTAACCTCTTAACCACTGAGCCATCTCTCCAGCCCCTCCGAACTTGTGTATTTAGCAACCTAAGAAAACAGTCTTGACCTAATAGAGCAGTAATAGTATTCATTTTACATAAAACAAAGGAAACCCAAGATGTGTTCAGGTACCCAGTGTTCCAGGAAAGTGTGGCTTGCTCTATTGTCCTGCTCTCAAGAGAAGCCACCATGACACCAAACACTCAAAAGGAAATCAAGGGGCTGGAGCGATGGCTCACTGGCTAAGAGCACTCTCTGGTCTTTCAGAGGACCTGGGCTTGATTTCCAGAACACACAAGTCAACTCCCAACCTCTGTTAACTCCAGTTCAGGGATCTGATGCCCTCTCCTGACCTCCAAGGACACCATCACACGCACATTGTGCAGTCATACATGAAGGCACTCACACATATGCACAAAAAATAAATAAGTCTTAAACTATGGACACCAAAAGTTAAAGCAATTTCTTGATAAAGTGACCATGAGGATGAATAGCCACTGTGAGTTCAAAATAATTCTGGACCGCGACATTATATACACACACAATGGCGTTTTTGCTTCTAATTTGTATCTAGATTATAGTATGTCACAGAGCCTGTGTTAGCTATGTACACATCTGCATTTTTCAGAGGGTCACTTGCAACACACCTGAAGGTCATGACTGGTTTGTAGTGAATTAGAAACAGCACTGAAATTTCTCAGCTGATTATAATAATTCATGCTGCTCACATATCAGTTGCTTGACAGAAACATAGCTGCATTGCTTGATCTCTCTATTTCCCCTCGTTTTCTTATCTAAAATGCCAGATTTAAAAAGTTATCACATGTATGTGTATGAATTTGCTTGTTCACATGTGGGAGGCCCCACATATGTTCATATGTATTTGCATGTGCTCATGAGTGTGCCTGTGGAGGCATGAGGTTGATGTTGGCCTGTTTTTCTCCATCACTCCGCCCCTTATCCATTGAGGCAGGAGCTCCTGTTGAATGCAGAGATGGCTGTTTTAGCTGGTCTGGCTGGCCTCACCCGGAGGTCTCCTGTTTTCCCTTTCTGAGCACTGAGGTTGCAGGTGGCCGCTAAGCCTAAGCAGCTTCTACAGGACATCTGAGCCTATGGGGACAACTACCCACAAGTCCTTAGTGGTTCCTCTGAGCTCATCCTTCTGACCAGCTGTGAACTGAACTGTATCACTGCCTAACACTGACCTAATGTCCCTCTCCTCTTCTCATGACGTTCCATGCCCACATTCTCCAGCTCCCTCCATGTCATGCCCATCTGTTTGTCTGGGTAGCCACCATCCTTAGCAGGCCCTCATCTCTGTGTGACACGGTCACAGCACCCTAATGGTTTCTCTAGCTCTTCCCCCTTCGAACTGTTCTCCCTTTAGCTCCCAGGACAATCTTTGTACAGTCCCACTCTGGCATTGCCACATTCCTGCCGGAAACTCTTGGACTTCCTTCCAGAGACTAAACCACTTCCTACCTCAGGCTTGGCCTGTGGCCATAAAGAATTCCTTGAGAGAGCATCATCCATGTGGCTGCGCACATCTCTCAGGGCCAACACAAGTGCTGGTCCTGCCTCATTGCCCACATCCTTGCCAGCCCTTCCATTTGACAAGAATTAACTTTTTCAGCACTGTGAGTATAAAATGTGTCATGATTTCAACGTGTTCACCCTGACTTGGCCATTCAGTTTTCCTTTTCGGCAAACTGCGTTTAATACCATTTTATTTACCTTTCTATCAGTTATTTTCCATTTTCATAACTGACTGATAGTATAATGTTTAGTATATGCACACACATCCCCAAAGCAGTGGCAACAGCTCTCTCTCTTTAGGTACAAGTTATGGTTTGGATATAAAATGTCCCCCACAGGCTCATGTGTTAGGACACCTGGCATCCAGCAGGTGGTGCTGTTTGAGGAGGTTGTGGAACCTTTATAAGGTGGGCCTCACTGGGGGAAGTGGGTTGCTGTGGGTGGGCCCTGAGGTTTGTAGCCTGGCCACACTACACCCTCTTTACATCTTGTTCCACCTAGGTGTGAGGAGGTGAAGAACCCCAGCAGTACCCCAGCTCTATGAAGCACCTGCCAACCTGCCTCCCATGACAGACTATACCCCCAAACTGTCTGAGTCCTTCCTCCCCCAAGCTACTGATGTCAGGCATTCTGTAACAGTGAGAAGTGGCTAATAAGTAGACTTTATTGTTCTCCCTACAGTTGCATTTATGTCCTAAATATGAATTATTTTTCTACTCTTCAAATACTTTTTTTTTAACTTATGCGCATGGGCATTTTGTTTGCACGTATGCCTGTGCACCATGTGTCTCATATCCTGGAGGCCAGAAGGTGATGGATCCCCTGAGGCTGGAGTTATAGACAGCTGTGAGCTGCCATGTGGGAGCTGGGAATTGAGCCCAGGTCCTCTGCAAGAGTAGCCAGTGCTCTTAACCACGGAGTTGTCTCTCCAGACCTCTTATTCTAATCTTATGGCATAGTTTCACCTAAATGGTCTAGGAGCTTGTTTTCCAAACAGGTTAATTTGTATCTATCACCTATTTACTTATTATCTATCTATCTATAAGAACAATATATTACATATTATATATTAACAAATATATAAAAACAATATATTAATATATATAAACCCATCATTTATTTAAAAAGCACTGGGAAATATTTATAATTATATGCATAATATAAAAATAAAATAATTTTAATAATCAATAAATAAATTCAGGGACTGTATGAACTAATCTTTGTGGTTGTGCTATGAAGTCACACATGCTGTCCCTGCTGTTTTTCAAGGGTCTCCTATGAAGCAGCAAGGGCCTGGATACCTAGAGGGTCTATCTGCTCTATTGACAGGGCTTCCAGTCTGTGCCCACGACAAACAACCATTCACACTGCTTTGCAGTATGTAATTTTTTTGCTTTTTTGATAATTCTTCCCTCATTTTCTTTCTTCAGTGTTGTGCTAGCTGTGTTAGACTGCTGTGATAACCTAAGGTACACACCTTTCACCCTGAGGCCTGTGACTATGCTCATGAGAAACAGGAGAGATTCTGCAGCCGCAAAGTTGTAGGTTGTAAGAGAGAGACTACCATAGCTGTGTAACAGGCCCCCAACCCAATGAGTCCTTAAAGTTTGGGGACTGACTCCAGGTGAACAGCAGGGATGACCTCAGCATGCTGCTGCTGGTGGTGGTGGTGGTGGCTGCAGGGACGACCTCAGCATGCTGCTGCTGCTGGTGGTGGCTGCAGGGCCCGTGCGCAAACACTGAGGACTCCATGATGACGCTCAGCCAGGAAGTGGGCCCCCAATCCCCAAGCAGAGGAACTGCATTTGGCTGAGTCTCGAAGAACTTGATCCCAGGTTCTCAGCCAGGGCCTTAGATTAAAACTAAGAACTTGATCCCAGGTTCTCACCAAGGGCCTAAGATTAAAACTAAGAACTTGATCCCAGGTTCTCGCCAGGGCCTTAGGTTAGAGCTCAGCTGTCTGACACCTGGCTGTGACTTTGGGAAACTCTAACAGTAAAAGTCAGGCAAAGCAACCCAGTCTTATACCCACAGAATTGTAGTGAGGGCCAGCAGGATGGCTCAGCAGGTAAAGGCCCTTGCTGCCAAGCCTGATGACCTGAGTTCTATGCTGGGAATCACACGGTGGCAGGAGAGATGGGAACCCCACAGGTTGTTCTTTAGTTTCTACATGCATGTGCTCTCTCCCTCTGCCCACCCCCTCTCTCACACACACATACAACAAACTGTATTCAAAGAGAGGTGCTCTTTTGCTTATTTTAAGTCATGAAGTTGGTGGCAACAGAATAAAACTAACACACACACTCGTATGATTTGGGATCACCAAGTCAGAACCGCTGCCTATCTGGCCTGCGAGTTTCATCCCAACACTCTCCTTGAAGACTTATTTCAGTGTCCCTTGTTCCTGTCTCCTCCTCCTCATCTTCCTCCTCACAGTAAATCAGCTGTGAGGCAATGTTTCCGCTGTGTCTTTGAAGACGTCTTTAAATTTTCAAGCATGCTCTTTCAGAAGTCTCTACAATACACCTGTGTTGGCTGGCTTGTTTCTTTGTGGGTTGCGAGTTGGCAATGGTCACTGAATCTTTGCCTTGTTGTCTTCAGTGGTTTGGGAGAAACTGTCTGTTCCTGGGAAAATAATTCATTCACATATTCGTTCTGTTTCCTCTTTAATCTTCTGTAACCACGACCATAATTAGATTTTTACATTTTATTTATTTAACTACATGTATTCATGTGTGTGAGCACGCATGTGTGTGTGTATGTGTACATTCAGGTACTGATGGTATGTGTGTGTACATACATGCAGGTGCTGCTGGTGTGTGTCTGTGTGTGTGTGTGCACATGTACATACATGCAGGTGCTGTTGCATGTGTGTAAAAGTCAGAGAACAGCTTATGGTTCTCCCTCCATCACAGGCATCCCTGGAATCAAACTCTCCAGCCCATTTTCATTTTTTATAGAACACATTTTTTTTTCTTTTCAGATTTCCTTTGTCTTACCTCATAATGGTCTCTATTTGACCGTTGTTTTTAAAGCAGATGAATGGGTTGACCTTTTTTTGTAGCATATATGAACAAGTAGATGTAGTTGCTTTTTAAGAATCATGCATGTCCAAGTGAAGCTTTATTATTGTTCTAAACTTTGTGTTTATGCACATAAATAAGACACATTTGATTATCTGGAACAAGCTGTTGTTTGTGGCAGGGAACTTAATTCAGCCTCCTCCTGATACAAGACCAAATGCTACAGAGAAATGCTTCACACGACATGTGGAGATTCCGAGGCCGCTGCTAATCTGACATCACAGCCTTCGGTAGCTGTCTCTTCTCTTCCCGGAAAAGTCTGCAGTTGTCTCTTCTGGGACTTGGAGAAAAGACTTGAGACTTCCGCGTGTAACCTGCGGCAGACTGAGTGCGGAGGCTGATGTGCTAATTTTCCTGTCTGCAGCTTTTGCATGCGTTTGATTTGTAAGGACACTGGGAAGATCCAAGGCTATTTCCTTAAGCATGGTTGTGCGTAGTGTCAGGTTGCCGACGGCGCTATGTTGCTTTCCGGCTTCCAAGTTTGTTGCTCTGTGACTTGTTGTGGTGGTGTTGGAAAAAAAAATACCAACTGGAAACATCCTAACTGTGCCCAAACAAGAGGGATGGAGTATCTACTCACAAGAGGGATGGAGTATCTACCCCGCTTGAGACAGTGAGAACGCAGTCAATACAAATGTTTCTGAAGATATCAGGACACTGGTCTATGGTGAGTGGTGATGCCCAACAGACAGGACAACAATGCACTGAGCTTATAAACTTCCCCAAAAGAGAGGGACCCACATAGAAGCAGTGGGTTCTCTGGCAGGGTTAGGATCTAGGGAGGTCAAGGCAGGTGAATGTCACAAACGGAGTAGCAGACAGCACAGGGCTCCCTGTACAGAGGGAGCTCTTGGAGCTTCCTGTCCTCCATGGACTTGGAGCACAAGGAAAAGACACTTGAGATGATTGGCAGAATAAAACAGCAGCATTAGAGAAATGTGCCTAATTTCAAGTAGCCTAACATGTGTGTTGAAAGGGAGATTTGAAGACAGAACGGTCAAAACTTTTTCAAATTAAAATATCAGATCTCGGCTCAACAACAGTAAGTATAAAAAGCAATCTGAAGTTACATCAAGGCACCTCCTATCCAAACATCTCCAGAGCAGAGATGGACTGGGGACTGGGGACGGCTCAGCTGGTAGTGACTGCTGTCGCGGGATTCGACCGGAGTCCCAGCCCCAGAACCCACGTGAAAAGCCAGGCATGGTAGTGCACACGTAATCCCAGCATTGGAGAGGCTAAGTTGGGTGGATCTCGGGCTCATTGGCTAGCGTGCCCAGCATACATAGCAAGCTTCAGGAAAAGAGACCACCCTGACCTGGAAGAAGACAGCCATGTCTGTAGAGGGCTTGCCACACACGCAAGAAGACCTGGGTTGTTTCTGGAACCTACATAAAAAGCTGGGTGTAGTGGCGTGCACTGAGAGCCCCACTGGTGGGGATGTCCAGGGAACATTCCCTGGATTCACTGATGGGCCTCCCAGCCTACATGGGAGCTCCAAGACGATGAGAAATCTTTTCCCCCAAAACAAGGAGGATGCCTCCTGTGAAACACCCCTGACCCCTCACATACACCTTTGCCTTAATCACCACGTTTACTATGATAGACTCTGGGTGATTCTGATAGTGTTTCCAGGTGGCAGAACAAACACTAAGGTTTCCTCTACTATCTGTTAAATGGATAGGGCCTGAGCGATTGGAAACACGGCAATAAGGGGAACTACACACCCTGCTTACCTGCCCCCTAGAGCTCCCAGACCCTCCCCCTCCCCGTCTACATGTCTTTGTGTCTGCAACGTTTCACAGCTCAGTCTTGCTCAGAGCGAGTACATCAGGGATGAGAAAACAGACTAACCTGGCCCCTTTTAGTTCCAGTGACAACTTTCTTCTTGGTGAATTCTTTTCATAGAAATTGATGACCATTAAAAAGGATAACCTAGTTCTTGTAGTGAACTCAACAGCCTAATAGAAGGAAACCACTACATCCACTGGAGTGACCATTTAGCAATGAAAGGCCTGTGTGTGAGGTGTGTGGCACTGGGTTCTCTGCGACCTTTGGAAAATTCACACCCTTTGGCTGGTCCTCTAGAAACTTCTGTTAGCTATTTCTAATTGCTCAGAACACAGGCGGTTACAGTTCAGGGATTCCTTAGGGGTTTTGTTAAATCAATGATCCAAAAACAGCTCAGAGCTCTGCTTTGTACTGATCTATGACCTCGGCAGAAGATGGGAAGCTATTCGAATGTGTACCTGGATGTAAACTGGCCGACTTCTTCGAGAATCACAGAGAGGTGTTTGATCACATTCTCGGTTTGAGAAGAGTGTGCCACGAGTTTCTTTGAATCTCCAAACAAAGAAAGAAAATAATCTTCTCCTTCCCCCAGAACCAGCGTGGCCGAGTCAAAGCTCATTAGAGGTTGTTTCTTTGGAGTCATGAAGCTTGAGCCTTTCAAAGAAATCGGACACGCAAGTGAGACAGACATGAACAGACATCAAAAGAATCCAAGGGCATCATCTTCGCTCCTATTATGTTTCTTTATAGAGTTTACTGTCCCTGTCAGACTTGGTGAGAAGACTCACAAACGCTGGTGGGAGCCTACAAAACAGGTGCAAGTGAACATTTTCAATGGCACCCTCATTTCTTAGAGATTGTCTTAAATGTTCCGGTGTAGCGTGGCATTTGTACGGACTGTGTAGCCATCTTGGCTCTGGCATCCTTGGGGACCTCTCACTCCTCGCTCCCTACCATGAGCATGCTGGGTATTTAACTGATTGTTTAGCCACACTAGAAACCATCTGTATTTGTCAGTAAACACGGAACCTGCCAAGTTTGGGTAGTGTGTATACAAATGCAGTCTTATTCTATTTAATGCCTGCTATACTTCCCAAATTAAAGCCCCACCTGAGCAGCACTACTTTCTGCGAGAACAAAGAGGACGAGAGGTGAGTCAGGTGTCGGTCCTTGGCTGGCACTGTCCCTTCAATAAGGTAAGGGTCTTTCTCATGTGACCTGGGCCCAGAATCATGGAAGCATACAAACCACTCAGATTTTGCTTTAGATGCTTGTATCTTTAACAAAACCAAAGAAAGGTGATCTACATAAAGGGATAAATAATAGCATTTTCATTGTAGTGACAGGGTTGGGCCTAGGGCCTCAGGTGCACTACGAACATCTTGAATCACCCAGCTCTTTGAACATCCCTGATGACTGAAGAGGGTTCCTCATGGGATTGTGTTGAGAAGAAACGAGAATTTAATTAGCACCGGCAGCCCAGTGGGCAGTGAGTCTTTCTGTAATCCACAGCATCCTTCCTCCCGAGGAAAGAATGCTTGTGTTCTCAGAGATATGAGGCATTAACCAAGATCTTGTTTTTAGTTCCCTGAGGACCACAGACGGCTGGACTGGTACATCATGTCCTAGCGTCTACAGGCCTGACTCCTCAGTAGAGTCTGCAGCAGCTCAAGAAGACTGCATCCCAGCCTACCTCTTGCCGTGCGAAGGGAAGCCAGTAAGCTTCGTTCCCATTAGCAGGGGTTTTCACAGTTCAACCCAAACACACAGCAAAGACAGTGGTCTGCACAGCATCAGAGAGGGCAACTTTTCCTTCTTAGGTCTAAAGTTTGTATTTGCATATTTAACATTCTGCACACTGGTCAAGGATTAAGGTCAGTAAGAATTTAGCAAGCGTCTTTAGATGACTCAACTTAGTCACAAAAAGAATGACGCACACTGCGTCGTATATGAGAACCACATGCAATCGTATATAACATCATGCCTAGGAAAATACCAGACATACACGGAATACAGACGAGAACAAGCCAGACTATAAATGTCCACAGAGGAGAGGGAGTGAGGCATTCGATAGCCACGGACATACAAGTCAAATGTAGATTAATCTAGAAGGAGCTAACGGCTGCACGTGTTGGCCATGTGCTGGGCTCCCACACACACCCCAAGCTTAGCAGAACCCCGTGAAGCTGGTATTTTAATCTCCTCTCTGCAGGTGTAGAACATCAGGGCCAGTGCTGCAAAATGCCTTCCCTCCTCACTCTGTAGAGGGCAGAAAAGAGCTGGTTCTGCCTTTGCCAGGACAGCATCACCTAACCATGAGAACCAGCATACCCCATAGCAACCTGGGCCAGCACCCTGCTGGCACCACAGTGTGCCACCCAGTTTCTGCTCCTTCGTGTTCTCTTTATTGCACCCCCTTCTCTCAGCTACTGCATCTCCTGCACTATTTCCCTTTCTGATGTCTGATCTGCATGTATATGATCCCTGAGTCTACCAAAAACATGAAAGAAGATATTGCTTATTCTGTCAGTATTTTGTAAATGGCCCTTCATGCTATACTCTGGACATTTTAACTCTCCAGCTATCATTGTAGCTCCAGGCATCTTACGCAGAGATAGAGAAGACATTGCTTAATCCTTACAGAGTGTTCACCTGAAGGATCCTGGGAGCTATACATTGGGAACCTGAGTTCTCCTCCAGCTCTGGAACATGCTAACGACTGGCCCACATGTCATCATGGCAGCTCTAGGCCTCTTAGCAGCATTCAGTGAAGGGTCCTATCTACATGGCAAGTTTTGGTTCTCTAACAATTCTAGAACATGCTAACGGCAGACCCATAAGTCATCACAGTATCTGCAGACTCCTTCCTTATGGAGATGTCGTATTTGGGCCACCTGCATTTATAACTACTTCAGATCTAGAGTCAAAGATTCTTGGCCACAGCTAATCCACTCTGCATGTGGTACAGACTGAGAAACAAACATCACTGGGGACAAAGGATAATGCCTCCTCGGGCAAGGAGGCAAAGAAAGAGCCAATCCAAAAAGGGGCCGTCGGACACTTGGTACTTACTCTGCTTGGTCAGGCTGGTGTCTCCTCGGGAGAGGCTCACGATGGTAGATTTAGAAGTCAGCCGTCCTGCTGAGGACAGGGTTAGGCCGCTATTCTGAGTGCTGGTGATCTGATAGAAGCTGATTGGCATTTCACTGGAAAGCGACTCTGACAATCGTATCTGTGTGTTATCTAAATCTATCATTCTCGGGAAAAAGTGGACTGAAGACGGATTTTTTGCTGGTGTCATATTTTCAAATTTTTCTTCTCTTCTGTGGACAAAACAATAATGAACAAAGTTAGAAAATTAAAAGGTCTGAGCACAGGAAGCTTGAGATTTTACTCAGAACTCTGCTTGCTAAATACCAAACATCTAATAGGAGAAAGTGGTGTTCTAAAACTCCAGTTCTAACAAATAAACATTATCAGCTCTGTCTTACATATTTCGTTTTTAAGTTAAAGATTGACACATTCTATTGTTGATGGTCTTGAAAATTAAAAATCTATAATAATCAGTATAATGCCTGCAGTCAGGGACTTTAGAATTTATTTCTTAGCTTTTTACTACATTTCTTTTACTCAAATTAAGACACGAGTATTTCTCTTTCCATTAGGGCACAAAGGACCTTAATGTCTGTTCACTGACGTGGCTTCTTCCTTAAATTCCTGCAGCTGCTGAACTAAATTTCCAATATTGACATAATTCTGTGGATAATCACTGCACCCCCATCTCTCATGGAAACCAGGAAAGAGGGGAGACTGGTGATTTCAAATACACTGTACGAAGTGAATTTTCAGGGACACAAATTTCTTTTTTGTTTAAAAATAAAAAAGTATTGATTTAGGCGCACACAATCATTGAACAAAGCCCCCAAACTATAGTACAATTGTTTGTTCCACAAGCTACACAGTATTCTCAAGACTGACCTCGGGAAAAGGCTTATGATGGATTTCACATCAATTCCAATGGTCTCAGAGAGACTGTTGCATTCGTGTGTGTGTGTGTGTGCGTGTGCGTGCATGCGTGTGTATGTTTGTGATGATTAAATAGGAACATAGTAAGTCCATAGGTCCTTCCGTTGCCCTATAAAACTGGACATACGGCCTGTCCAGCCATCCCCAGGCTGTCCAGCCATCCCCAGGCTGTCCAGCCATCCCCAGGCTGTGGCTGTGTGTCTACAGTATTTACTGTGAATCAGGAACTGACTTCACTGCGTCCCAGACTGCCTATCTTTTGACCCACTTTCCAGAGTTTATTTCATGGCTAATCTTGAGTGTAATAGAACTGGTGTGAGGGAGGCCCAGGAGGACCAACGGAAGGCATGTGTCTGCATGTGTCTATGTGTAGAGATGGCAAGGGAAGAGGCTCTTTCCCAAGGAATGGGGTCATCCACTGCTGGATTCACGAGGTGGGGCAATTTGGGAAGCCAGGCCAAGATGGAGGACATGGGTCATGGAGCAACGTCCTGGGTTTATATCCTGCTCTGACCTCCTCCCATCTCTGCTCTGCTTCTGTGTCCTCCATGCTGTCTCAGTCTTGCCACGGCCTAAATGCAATGCAGCTGGCTGTGGCTGCCAGCTCTGATGTCTTAATGCAGGATGGCTCTCAGCGTCTACCACAGTGACAAAGCTTATTAGGCGGTTAAAGACAATGTCTGGCTGGGTTGATTCACTGAGGCTTCTGAAGATATATTTACTTATTATGTATACAGTGTTTTGTCTGCATGCAAGCCCGCAGGCCAGAAGAGGGCGCCAGATCTCATTACAGATGGTTGTGACCCACCATGTGGTTGCTGGAAATTGAACTCAAGACCTCTGGAAGAGCAGCCAGTGCTCTTAACCCCTGAGCCATCTCTCCAGCCCTCGTGGTTTCTATGGAAACCAGGGCCTGGGGCTTCCTCCCCTACCATCTTCACAATGTCCTCAGTACAAATGATCATATTCCTGATTTTTCACCCCGCGAATTCCTTCCCTGGGAACCTTTAACCTGGAGCGCTCCATTGTCAACACCGGATGTTGCTCACTGTGCCTCTCAGAAAGCACGGGCTGCTTTAAATGTGGTGATGGCACTGGCTGAGGGCCCGTGATGCGCCGAGTACCCACCCTTGTCTGAGGAGCCCTGTCCTCTTGAGGGCTCTCTGGAGTATGACCGTGATGGCAGTGGACACGAGACTTCAGGGGCAGACTGTCTACCTGTGCCGCCTCTGTGCCGGCAGAGACAGGACCGCATGGGAGCACTTCTCCCTCCTGCTGTCTGGAACAGAGCCTGGGAAGCACTTCAGTGTTCCTCACATCTGGATCTCATTGCTCAGTGGCTCTGTCTTCTCAGTACACTCATTTTGTAAGCTCTCCCTAATTTTTCCTTCAGTGAAACAATGTCACTTCCAAATATATTTAATTCCAGAGCAAAGATGCTCAATAAGCCCTGGTGTAGCACAGAAACTTGGCCCAGGGACACAGGAAGTCTGGAATGTCTGAGGGCTGCACACATCTTGGAGAGACTGAAGACTCCAGGACCCCAGTCCAGTGGTGCAGCTGGCCACGTGTGCCTGGTACTCACCCATCTATGGACTCTAGAAAGACAGGAGTCTTCCTACTAACTCATGCAATGACATTTCATTTGCATTTTAATAAATAAAGCTTGCCTGGGGATTGGAAAAGTAAAACAGCCACCCTGGCTAGCCTTACAGATCGGGCAGCAATGACACATACCTTTTATCCCAGTAGCCACACTAGCTTGCCTTAGAGACCAGGGGTAGTAGTGGACACCCTTAATTCCAGAATTAGAGAGGATTATAAAATGGAAGGAGACAGCTCTCAGACACAGCCTCATTCTGAGATTCCTGGAGGCAGGATCGCCATTTCTGGACTGAGCTGGAGATAAGAGCATTTGCGTTTTTCTCTCTTTGTAACTGACAGACACTAGAGCAGGGCTGACAGCAGGAGCTCATGTGGGGACAGGGGGAGGTTGCTTTGGAGAAACCAAGGTATCTCCTCTCACATAAAACATGACAACAGACTAGTGCTGAACAGTGAACACAGGCATCTCAGTCCAAAATGGCCAAACGGAGTCCCGTCCTGAACCCTGAGAGCCCACACAGCGTCCAGTCCTGAGCCCTCCA